CATCTCCCAAAAGGAAAGAGTAAAGCAGTTCAATGTGCCCACCAAAGAAGGCAGCTCTGGGCGGGCGGCAGGAGAGGTGCCCGCGTGTCTTCTTTCTGAGGTGGACTAAAGGGCACGGCATTGCTGGCGAGAAAACTCCCACAAATAGAAAAACTTCTGGAAATGAAGAGAGCTTACAACAGAGCCGGCATAGGAGCGCTTCAAAAGTAGAAATTTGTGACACACACACACATGCACACACAGTGCCAATGGCCTGTTTCTCATTAAGTGATTGAGTTTAGAGTATTTGAAAACAGATTAAATGTCTGTCTAAAGAAGTAACATGGCTGTAGTTGTGTTATCGTTTGACAACCTGTTTATGATAAACATTTTCTTGTTATTAATTATCCTATTATATGGAAATACCAAAATTTACTAATTTAATCCTCTATAGTTGGGCATCAGATTATTTTCTTTTCCTTCACTAGTACAAAGAACTTACTTGAATATATACATCTTTATGCACATTCATAACAATTTCCTTAAAATACATTCTTATAGGTCAAAGAGTATACACGTTTTCCAGGCGTTTTTTGCATATCACCAATTTGCCCTAGAGGAAAGTCATGCCAGTTTATACTCCCATAGGCTAGGAGAGTGGTTCTTTCCTTTCACTGAGTATAGCAACTTAAGTATCTTCATTTAAAAATTGTGTGAATTTACTAAACCTCTTTATTCAATATGTTGTTTTTTAATTTTCTAAGTGCATTTTTTCTAACGTATTATTTTTTAACCATCAATTATATCAGTGTGTTCCTTAAAGCTTCTCACTTTGTTATGATATCAGCTAATCACTTGCAATTTCTTCTAGATTTTTATGGTTTAATTTAAAAAGCACATTTTTAATTCACCTAGAATTCATTTTGACGTACAGTGTGAGAACAAAAACTAATGTCTTTCTACTTTTTAGAAAACGTATTAAAAGCTGTATACTCAAATGTAAATTTTCTTCAAAATCATTATCTTTGGAAGCTAGTCACATATTCTGAGGACAATCAAGAAATATTTGTAACTTTTATCCAAAACTGTCTTCAATGCTAGTAGAAACATATAAAGCCACATCCACACACCGCTCTGCGATTTATAAGCATGCTTTGATTTTGATGAGAAGTGGAACGACTCAGCTTGATAACTTACCTCATTCAGCAGACTTAGCTTTCATTTGCTTTCTGCTCTCTCTAAAAATAAAATCTGACCTCAGCTGATGAAGATTCACCATCTCTAAGGGTATATCAAAGGATTTGTACCAAAGGTACCCAAAAATTCCCAAAAGAGGACGTCCAAAAATATTCTAAATGGTGGAATAAATATCTATCTTCCTAAAGTGACTAATTTGAAATTGGCAACACTAACTTTGTTGCATCCATTCTGGTTTGGTTGTTTAAATTTTGGTTTCATTATTTAATAATTGTACTGTTCATAGTTTTTCTGAGACTCAACTTGCTAAGTGAGCAATCTTATATATTAAACATCTCTTTTGTGATTTCAAAATGTTCATGTGCTTGTGGGAAAAACTATTTATATCAAAGCAAGGAGCGGTATATGTGTGTGTGTGTTTTAACTAGACTAATTCTAGGACATACGCAGCATGGTGGCTCACAGATAGAGACAGAATTACGGGCAACATCCTTATTAAACATATATTTTTCTTCTGCTAGATTTAGTAATGAGGAGCACAGCAAACTAAGAACACAAATAATAGATTATGCTAATTAATAAAAAGATGTGTCCTAATAACACAATTTTTTGACAGAAACTTCATTTCCAGAAATACCAAAGAAAGTATAGGGTTGTATTCTGGCAAGTCAAGAAGAGGAAGAAGTTTTGTTTAGAAATGGCGCACTAGTGGACCTAAATTCTTTCTATTCTCTTAAATTTGTTTTCCTTCAATATAAATGCCATTGGGTGATTCCTGTACCCTGAAGTTACTACAGGGTCTTCCCCATCCTGGGCCCTAAGGCATTTGATTTTGCAATCCCCAAACTGGAACTTTTCAAGAACATTAAGCACTAATTAAACAAGTAAAATGCTATACTTTAGAGAATTCTGGTTATTCTCTTGAGAAAGGGCTGTAATTAGAAAAGAGGGAGAGTAGGAGATTTGCCCTTCAGCTTTGAAGGGAAGAGTAATGGAATGATCAATTGATTCTTACCTTCGGAGTCCTCTAACCTGGTGAACCGTAACCTCCTTCTTCTTACCCGGAAGTTCAAGGAGATCTCAGGCTTTTGGGTCAAGTTTTTCTTTGGTCAGGGAAGTTTAAGAAGCACTAGGCCAAGAATATAAATGTAAGCCCCCTGGCCATTCCCTCCTTCTCCTCCCTGTGCCAGCTTTGTTCTGCACCTTGAGGGGTCTTGTGTGCACATGGGTGTATATTGTAGCCACATGTCCACATTTAAGCTCTGTCTGTCTTCCCCTTTTCCCCAATATCGACCTCATAGCCACAGATAAAGACTAAATGGGCCCAAGCAGGCTGTGCTGTCAGTTACTGAAAGAACGGACAAGGAAGCAAGCTCTTGGGTCCATTTCAGAGGAATGTAGAAGGATGGATGCAGGCTTCAGATGGGTGTGTCTTCATAGCATAGTGCTCCTTGTTGCATGAGAAGTAGCACAGCTGGAGCAAGACTCCAGAAGAGTTCTCTAAAGCACAGAGCACAGAACCCTCTTGCCTCAGCCCCAGGTGGTAACTGTTTCCAGGGACTAGAATCTTGGTGATTCATCTAGTCTTGGTTCCCAAAACAGCACTTTCATTCTGCCATATTCTTTCCGAAAACCACAGCTTTGCCTGGGACCTTGATCCTGAAGATTTTGTCTCCATTTCCTTTTGCTATTAGCTTGGATTTTTGCCTGATGTCTGCTCCAGGCTTCTTGAGCATATTATTAATCCAGAGAGCAGACATCTCCATTCAGCATCGTTTGAGCACCATCATGATACTGACTGCTGGCCTAAACTCACTCCACAGCCTGCCTCTGGCTCCTTCTTCTGACCACGTACTGTGCTCTTGTTGACTTGCCTTCTGGTCCCATTGTCTGACTTGATTTAGAATCAAGTAAAGCTTCTGTAGAAGAGATGCCAACAAAGACACTTGTCTTGGACAGGATGGCTCCAGGCCTGTGGAGAATTCAGAAAACGGTAGCAACCAGGCACCCAGGAACAGGTCTCTATCAGCCCCTTCTGACCCATTCTCCTTAAGTGATCAAGAGGCCATTTCAAGGAGAGGCTTCATGTCCCCTCTGAACATATGCACAATTATCCTAAAAGGAGTCAAGCAGATTTACCTTTAGTGTAGGCCTTACCTTGCAGAAGCATTCTTGCCTTTCTTTCTGCAGATGCCTGAAATTGCTTTAATGGGGATACAGTATTTCATTCTATAATTAGAGACAAAAGACTTAAAATACACAGGCCTGACTATGGTTAGGCATTTACAGAAACTCATTCACACTCAAGTGTCATCAGTCAATCAATCACTTAACATCTATAAATGGCAGATATTAGATCTCTTCCTTTTATGATGAGTGTGTGTAGGGGGAAGATAGTGGAAAGAAACAGAAAAATCAATGCTTCTGCATGTGTGTGTGGAATTGCCATTGAGATGAGGAAAGAGGAACATAAATGGAAGGTTAGGAACCTAGAAGACAATGCTGAAAACTATATGGATCCGCTCATCTTCTCATTGCCAGACTGAATGTGGGATTCATTCCCAACTCAACTCCACTCTGAAGACATAGGGTTCAAAGAACATAATCTACAGATGACTAATCAGTGTTGTGATTACGTTTGAAAAACAGAATATCAAAGTACAAATTTTGTAGAGAAGAGACAATAGACACCTTCAATTTACATTTTGAAACTTGAATGCACAAACGTAAAGTAGCTTTTCATAGCGTGTGGAGTCTGAGGGTAAGTCATAAACCAAATCATGGGATCAGGCCTGTGGTGACCACGACTGAGGATCTTGTGGCTGCTCTTTGAAATGTTATTTTCATACATCATTATATGTGCTTATCTTTTCTTTACATCTTGGGGCAAACAAATTTCATAGCAATAAAGATAATACTAGCTAACATTTGTTTTGAACAAAGTGTTGGGTTAAACGAGTTACTTGGATTACACTATTTAAGACTTACAGCAACCCTAGGTGACACGTTTGAGGATCGAGGGGTAGAAAGTTTACTAACTTCCAGAAGTTGCAGAGACAGAGTGTGACAACACCCAGGATTCTAAACTAGGCAGTTTGTTCCTAGGAATGCTCATGGAAACTTTTGTTGCCCTGTGCTAAGTGTGGCAGTAAGAGGTACATTTTATGGTTTCTTCTGTACATTTTTGTGTTCATGTCACTGTTTGCCTCAGGACTTTGGGTTAGAGGGAGTGTTTTGCAACAATAAAGGGATGACCAAAACTTGTAATTACCTATGTCTTAACTGTTCCTAACATGATGTGTTTTCAGCTGATGTAACTGTTCAATAAGTGAGAGGAAAATAAGTAGTACAAAGAGATCTTCAAAGGTGGCTAGCAATAAATTAATACAGCAAGAAACAGAATATGACTTTCCCATAGAAAACCGAGCAGAGCCACACGCTCGAAATGTCTACTTTGGAACATGCAAACAAGTTTGATGTCAATCTGCTTTTCAGAATTTCTCTGCTTAAAGGATTTTGCTCATCCTGAAGCAAGCAAGCTAGAGGGCTCTGCTTTAAGTAGGTTAGATGCATGACACAATGTTTGGGGGAAGTTACCACAAGATGCCTTGTTCTTAGAAGCTAACACTAGAGTTATGGTGGGAATAATAGAATTATCAAAAATAGATATCAGTGAGTTCATTAATTAATTTAGTTAATTGCACAAACATTTATTGAGCATCAATGAGAGAATGTATTAAGGTATCATGGTTTGTTCTATGGAAGACACAAATATTAGCCATACAAAGACTACGTCTTTTTGGTTCGTATCAACAGAAACCAGCTAAACTCACTTTGAATCAAGAGGAGATTTATTACAAGGAGATATGGAATCCGAAGAAAGAGAACATACCAAACCTCACGAAGGGATGCTCCAAGAGATCATGGAACTTATCTCTTTATCTCTGTGGCCATGACTACCAATTCAGCACTTGGCATATGGAAGATCAACAAATGCAGGGTAAATTAAGGACTGAACCAAGAGCAGAAATGTCTTTTTCTGGAAACCCAGAATGTGAACAATTTCTATGTCCCATCTCTTTGCTTTTGCATTCATATTCTTTCTGTTCATTTGACAGAGAGTATGGCTGTTACCATCCTGGAGTTTGGATATTACAACCCAGTTACACTTCTTAACGCTGTGTGATTGCAACTGGCTCAAAGTGGTTGCCCAGCCATAAGAGTTGGCTTAGCCCTCAAGGCCAGGAGTGAGATTATGCGGAAAAATGACTGCTGGGGGCATACCGGGAGAGAGCAGCTCTGAGGATGATGTTTACTGCAGACTTGGCAAAAGACTCAAGAAGTGTTTATTCCAAGCTAAGAATGGATCCTGCACCTCCAGGGCCTTTAGATATGTATATAAATATATAGAAATGTATATCGTTTCTCAGCGTTCTACATTTGAGCCATCTCATTCTACTCATTCTCCTCACAAATGTGCTACTCACACCCGTGTTTTCAAATAACCTCTTAGAAGTTGATGATTCTCAAATCTCTATTTTCAGCATAGAGCTCTCTCCTGAGCTCCAGATTCATATAGCTTCTTACTTAATTTTCCATGCATGTCTCTTAGACACTCCACTTTTGATAAGCTCAAAAAGGAACTCATCTTCCCGCTAAAATTTGCATCTCCTCCAGTATTGTTTAGTGTGTAAAAATGCATACATTTTTTGAAGACATGGTAAAGGCTGTGGGGAATGTTGGCAAGTCACTCTCCTTAGAGGCAAAAATATAAGCATACAAAAAGGATGTCTTGGAATTTGGAGCAGAAAATTAAAATAGGAAAACTGCTAACAATATCAAACATTAATAAAATGTGTGCCCACATATAGTCCGAAAATAATATGTGATTTTGGAATTCAAATCAATTTATTTGGCCATTGGAATAAGTCTTAGAACTAGGGTGACTATACATCCCAGTTTCCCGGATACAGTTCCAATTTATTCCTGTTGGTCTAGCATCTTATCTAATTTTTTATTTGTTTCCAGTGTTTTATTTTTGATGAAGTATTATCAATGGTTAAATTAAAATAGTCTTTGATGAGCTTAGCAGAACTCCCCTTTTTTTCCTAACTTCTGCCATGGGATCACTCAGTAATGTGTGAGTTGTATGTACAGTGAACAGAGTTCCCACCCCATTACTAGTGATAGTGACTAGTGATAACCCATTTCTCTTTTCCTAGCTTTATACAGACACAACGGGGCTGAATTCCCATTTCACCCAAGGACACTAACTCCATGTGGTATCCACATGGTAATGGGAGGGGTGTACTTGGCATACTAATCAGTTGTACTAGAGTCCATACAGTGGTCTGTGAGAGGCACAAAGCCGTCAATTTGTAGAGTCAATAGGAAACATGAGGAATTATAAGTTGGGTGTACATCAAACATAAGCAGGTAATAAAGGCTGAGCAGCCCTGGCATGCAAAACATAAAGAGTAATTTAAATACTCTTATTACAATGAGTTTGGTATTTATTTTACGGTGCAAATCTCTGACTATTCAATTGTTTTAGTTTTAGCAATACTTTTTAATTTTACCATACATGCCCTTTTAAGCAAAAACTTAAGTTGAAAAAATAAGTGCATGTTTGTTGAACAAATAACTGCTGGTTTTCTGGGGCTCAAGATATTTTGATATTGACTGTATAACTTGCACAAAACGTTTCATGACATTTACAGTCCCCCATCCTGAAGGGACATAATTGTACATGTAAGTAGAAGATGAGAAATTTGCTAAAGTAGCATCAGTATATACTACAAAAGTTAGGAAATATCTTTTGGAGACTGGGTGCAAAGTGAACTATTTAACACTTGCAGATATAGTCGGTGTGTTTATATATCACTCTTTGAAACATGTGTTTTCCGTTATATCAGATGACTGCTCATCTCAATTAGCTTCACTTATTTTGATTCCAATATTTCTTATGCATATAAAAAAATTAAGTGATAGCTATTATTTTGGACCCATTAATAGAAAAAAAACTCCATAAACAGTTAAATGATGTCATTTTTATGTCAGCCATCAGATATTTCAAATGGAAAATTAATTTCAAAAGTGGTTCAATTTTTTTTTCATCTAATTCACAGAATCCAAGTGAAGCATTTGGAAGTTCATCTTGTCATTGACGAAACAAAACGATGTTATAGGAAATGCAGTTGTAAATTCTTTAAGAAGGGCATCTTTAAAGGTAAAATTACTTGTTTTTGCAGTGATCATGAGAAAACAAATTTTGGAGCAGTGCAAGGTCATAGTAAAAACAATGTTTTTAGGAAACTAAGAAAGTGATGGAGCAGGAATATAAGTGGAATTGGTCATAGTACTCTTGTAATTCGTAGCTATGTCCAAACAAGCTGATATATTCTATGCATCAAAATAGAAGCAGCAGTCTTTTAAAAATAGTTTTAGTTTTGAAATTCACTTTTGAGTAAATCTGCTATATAGTTCCACCTATAAAATGAAAACCATTTATTGCTCAATGCAAAATAATTTTAAAATTCTACAGTTTCGTTATTTTTAGCGTTCTCTTTAACTCTCAGATCTGTCCTGGTTTGGATGATCAATTATATGGTTATTCTATCTGTTTAAATAAAAGGCATCACCCCCCGCCCATTGAACCAAGACACAAACCCAGAGGTCATTTGACTCTTTCTTCTCACTCAAACATCTAGTCACTAAGTATTCACGATTTTCACAAAGTTCCAACTTCTCTGTCACTGTCTGAGTTCGATGCTTTAGCATTTCTCTCCAAAATTGCTTTAAAAGACTTCTATCTTGTTTTCCATTCCCAATCTCTCATTCTTTCAGTCTATCCTCCATACTACTGTCAAAGTGATAGTTGCTTAAAATCCTTTGAAAGTTCTCAATTTTCTGCAGAATGAAATTCAAGCTTCTTGTCATAGAAGGTTTCTGTCTAGCCTCCATACCTCATTTCTTGCCTCTTCCCTTCATGTACCCTTCACTCCTGCTATGTCTATGCATCAAATATACTATCTTCTTTCAGGATAGGAGCCAGATGAAATTTGCTCAGTCTTTTCTAATTTTTTTCCCTCTGTCTCTGCTTAACTCTTAGCATAAGTTGCCTTCCTTCACCATGGCACTTAACATACTCTACTACAATTGTGGATTTGTTTTCTTCTTCTCTGAACTGTGGATTTCATTCGAACAGAGAGTCTGTATTTCCTTCAATATTCTCAGTAATGAAAATATTCCCTTACACATCATAGACATGCAATAAAAGTGTATTGAATGCAAGGTAGAAAATGAGTGCTGTAATGAGGCACAGGTAAAGTGTTAAATGAGAGGAAGCAAAGGGATAAGTTATTTCCAGCTAGAGAGAAAGAGGGGAAAATTCACACAGAATTTGATTTTTTTAATTGATCTTGTGGTATGTATAGGATATGGAAATGCCAGGATGGGGAGAAAGAAATCCCAGGAAAAAGTACAGTATATGAATGTAGAAAGTATCCTCGAAACAGTAACAATTTAAGTGTGGGTAGGATAAATTATAACAAGAACTTGAGTAGCGAGAAATATTTGGAAGGTCCAGATAGAAATTCCTGAAAGGCAGCCAGTCTTAAGTTCAAACTTTATTCTCTTAATAATGAGAAATATTCTGAGTGTTTGAGTAGGACTCATGCATCCACAGATAGTCTGAAAAGTACATTTGAGATGGCTTCATAGATGAAAAAACAAAACAAAACAAAAGGGACTAGTTAGGAAATCAGGCACAGGCAAGGTAAATGACAAACAGTGCTGTCCTGGGGCCAGATCATTCTGGCTTGTGAGAGCCAATCATTCAGTTTCCAGGATTTTTGTGAGTCAGTTTTTATACACAATAATTATTAAAAATTAACTTATGTAAATGTACAATTAAATAATTTATATTAAAAAAAGTAAAAAATCAAAACTACTCACTTTATACTTACTATACTATAATCTATGCATTGGAGATTACACATATTTGTGTGGTACCAATAGAATAAAATGATGTACTGTTGCACATCTCTTCCCAACTCAAGTGTACAGTGGCATGACGACGGTAGCTTGAAATCAGTCATGATAAGAGTATTTACACTACAGCGATTGGCAAATGGTATTATCATTACTTGATTTATTGTTTTGTTGACTGTTTAGATTTTAAGAAAATAATGAAGACAATTACAATAATGCAGATTAAATTTAAAAATGGGTATGTCTGTAGTCATTCCATTGCAAATAGCACAAAAATTCATGGAATATTCTTCTAATAAAAATATTATTTAGGGACTGGCCCAGTGGGTCAGTGGTTAAGTGTGTACATTCCGCTTCAGCGGCCCGGGGTTTGCCAGTTTGGATCCCGGGTGTGGACATGACACTGCTTGGCACTCCATGCTATGGTAGGCATCCCACATATAAAGTAAAGAAAAATGGACATGGATATTAGCTCAAGGCCAGTCTTCCTCAGCAAAAAGAGGAGGATTGGCAGCAGTTAGCTCAGGGCTAATCTTCCTCAAAAAAAAAAAAAAATTACTTAGAAGTTGCTCATGTCATTATTGAATGAACAAAGTTCCAACATATGACTTTATTTTTTCAGAATGTTTTGTGTCAAAACTGCATTTGTTCACTAATTTCAACCATAAGTTGGCTGGCCATGGACACATAAGTTTGGAAAAAATCAACAAAAGCATTCCTTGAGAATCAATTGGATCTATGGAATTTACAGTAAAGAGTATTATATATTTTATTATAATTTTTAAATTGTGTGCCATATATCCTTTATATTGTTAAAATTTATAATAAACATATGTATGCTTTGTGTGCATATATAGACATAAATATTTTTTGAGGGGGGATGGCATATTGCACATCACTGGAATTATGACCTTAGCAGTAGAAATGGGGAGGAAGGGATATTTTCAAAAAATATGTGGAGATGATACTACAGGCTGGGAACACTATAACTGTAAGGGGATGAGCAGGGATTCAGAGAAGAATGAGGTTTTGAGGCTCGCTGACATAAAGTTTGGAGAAATACGAAGCACAAGTAGAAAAGATTTATGAGGGATAAGAGCTCAGTTTTTGACTATTATATAAATTTGGGAGTCATCTGCACTAAGGTGTCGTCAAAGTCATTGTAAAAACTACAAAAGAAAGAAAGCAACCTAGAAAGATCTATGAGAGGGAATCTAATCTTAGGGGAAAGGAAATAAAAGGAAATGTAGGAGGGAATCAGGACTAGTCAGCTCTAGAGGTAGGAAGAGAGTTGGGAGACTATGGAGTCAAAAAAACCTGGTAAAAAGCAAATGTCAAATGGGACTATGTCAACAGAGATGGAGGATTCGCAATCAAACTCGATGAGTATGTTGTTTGTAACCAGCAACCTAGACAGGGAAAAATAGTATTTAGATTGGAAGAGGTCACCACAAGTCACAGTAAAAGAGCGTATCATGTGAACGTTCTCATAAAAGAATCAGGAGCACATAGGTAATCTATCTTTCAGAATATCTGTAGGTTCGTCCAGAACTGCCAATTCCCAATCAGACTTTAGAGGTTTACATTTATGCTGTCTTGACAGAACCACGAATGTAGATCATAGATTCTGAGAATGGAAGAGTCCTTGAAAGAATTTGCATGCCAAGTACCTCAAGATCAAGCCAGGAATGGTGATAGTAGTTGACAACCTCTGGTATTAGGAGGTCTCAGTTATTCACATGATATCAAAATCCAGAAGTTAATCCAAGTGTTTACAAGGTGAAAGACATGTGGGCTGCATACTTAACACAGACTCTCTCAACTGAAGGGTGAGCTTCATTTTTGATAAGTGCTGTGACAGAAAGTGCATTTGGAAGGAAACTAGACAGCAAGCTCTGCCTGTTTCCTCATCATTCAGGGGATTATACCAGGATGAACAGCAGGAATCAACACCACAGCACTATTAATGGGGCAACTCTTGCCTTTCATTTCCCTCTGGTTGCAACCAAAAATCGACAAGACAAGATTATATCTAGAAATCTGCTACATCCTTCAACTACACATGAAGAACCAGAACTTTCTAGAGACTGGGGAAT